GACAATTATCGTGTTCACCGACGGACAGACAGACGGCGGACACTATCGATTCCCCTTTAAAGCTTGCATCGCTTTGCTCTGCCACTTAATAGTGTGTATTTGAAATTTGAACTTGATACGGGTTCTGCGGTATCTGCAATGAATGACTTTTTATTTGATACACTTTTTCCAGACGAAATTTTGGAAAGAACGTAAATTAAATTAAATGGTGGCTGGTGAAATTACTACTCCACTAGGTGTCGCGTCAATGACAATTACATGCTCAAATAATAAGTATGGTGGACCACCAATTTTGGGACGTGATTGGTTTCGTAAAAATTAGCAAGATTTTAAAGTAGGTAATTAATAATGTGAAACTGTTTGGCGGCGACGAAGAAAAACTAATTTATAAATACCCTGAAATAGTCCTATCTGCAATAATGCCAAATCGTTATCACTCATAAGTACACACTTGGGTTTATTTGCGTATAACCGAATGTCATATGGAATTAAAACAGCTCCATCCATTTTTCAATTAATAATGGAGGAAGTTTAATTGGGTTTGAAGGCGTTACGTGTTTCCTTTACATATCTTAATCGCGGGAAGAAATAAGGAAGAACATCTTAGAATGGATTAACAGTGCAAAGAGAAAAATGCAATTTTTTTCAAAAATTTGTTAATTACTTAGGGTTTGTATATAATAGATGAAGAACGCCTTTCAGACCTTCTACTGAAAAGGTAGAGGCATTACTAAAAGTTACACCTCCTAGAAATAAATCGGAATTAAAGTCAGTGTTAGGGATGTTTAACTATTACTTGATTTTATTCCAAATTTTACCAGTATGTGTGAACCACTTTATATAGGTTGTTAAAAGACGAAAGTTCTTGGACTTGGAATAAAACGTGCGATCAAGCATTTGAGACTTTGAAGAAAACGATATCTTCTACACATGTATTAGCACACATACGACTCTGCAGTTCCTGCAAAGTTGACAGTGGACGCTTCTTCAACCGCAGGGGGTGCAATTTTGACACACCGATACGAAAATGGAAAAGAAATAAGGCCAATAGCTTTTGCATCTAAAGTGTTGACAACCACTCAAAGGGTTTGTTCTCAAATAGATAAAGAAGCTTATAGCATAATTATTGGTGTATCTAAATTTACGCAGTACCTGTATGGTCGTAATTTTGTGTCACAGATCGTAAATCTCTTTTGTCGATTTTTGGTCCAAAGCAAGGTATCTCGATAATGGCAGCAATCCGTTTACAACGATATGCGGTATTTTTGTCAGCGTTTAATTACACCATTGAATACCTACGTTAAATCGGATAAAAATGTAGCAGATTGTTCATCTATAGATTGATTGAAGACAATCAAACTGAGATGAAAAATTACTTGGACGACGACGACTTAATAGAAAAACAAGATATTTTTCGGCTAGATAAGAAATTGATTGAAGAAGAAACTAGGAACGACGAAATATTGCGAAAAGTATTCGAATTTGTGTCACAGGGCTGGCCCAGTGACTGCAAAGAAGAGGAACTGAAACCTTATTATATTAGGCGAGACCAAATTACAATAGAAGGCAACCTATTGATGTGGAGACATCGCATCGGTTAATCATACAATCACGTTGTAGGAAAGAAGTTTTAAAATTCGACACACATGGGAATAGTTACGAGTAAAACATGAACTAGATCATTTGTATGGTTGCCTTCGTACGATAAAAACGTCGAAGAATTTTGCAAAAATTGTTTAGCTTGCTTTAAACACATCAGAAACAATTCGCCGAAAGCTGAAGTAATTGAGTGGCCAAAAACTGAACAGCCGTGGGAAAGGGTGCATATTGATTTTCTTGGTCCATTGCATAATAAAATGTTCATGATTGTGGTAGATTCCCATTCGAAGTGGATGGAAGTTGTTTATAATTTAAATCTGTGGTTTCAAGCATTTTCTATATATGAATGGAATTCAGCACATTACACCACCACCTTATCATTCTGCCACAAATGGATTAGCAGAAGTTTTGGTGCGTACTGTAAAAACTCATATATTAATTAAGGGCCATGGAAGAACGAAAATCCACAGATCTTTTTGCTGCATTAAACCGTTTCAGCTAATTGCATTACAGAAACAGCATTCACAGTAGTACAGCTGAATTCTTGATAGGAAGAAAGCTATACCTACGCATGCGGTTGGACTTCATTTTACCGGAAGAGCAGCTGAAGCGGCAGCATTTGCGTAAAGAGGGAGAGATCCGAAGAGACTAACAAGAAGCAGTGCGGAAGGGAAACGTAATAAAGTGAGTGTGAGAGGCAATTTTAGAAAAAAGTGATCGTGTTTTTGTACGCGATTATCGACTTGCTAAACCGAGTTGGGTTTATGATGTAGTAGAGGAATCTGCAGTTGGAAAGGCGAGTTCTCCGGAACCATTTAGGGAAGCTAAAACAATTGCAGATGATTTTGTAGTACCTACCTACCTAACTAACTCTAGTAGTATGTTGCGCCCAACCAGAAACAGAAGACTTCCTGACTGGTTCGCAATAAAATAGGTAACTTATGATGTTATGTGAGGGAGGAACGATATGTATTTGGGAAAATTGGTATCTGATAGCAGACTTGCACCAGTCGCGTAACGCAAGTCAAAGAGCTCACGCGTTTGTATGATGTAATGTTTGAAATAAAGGTATTTCAGTATCCTTCCGTTACCTATATGTTATATTATCCAGGAAAGCTGCCTAAATACAAAACAGACTTGAAGTTAGCCCCGGACCTTAAAATTTTTGATTTTTTTAGTTGCAATCGTTTGTTGATCGTTTGTTGGCTATTTTGTATCGTTTGTTAGTTGATAGCATCTCCAGCATTAATTTATTAAGTTTTAGGCGTGAACTTAGCCCTCGACATTAAAATTTGGAAATTTTTTAATTTGTATTCGTTTGTTGGTCGTTTGTTGGAATTTGTTGGCAATTTTTTTATCGTTTGATACCGCATCTTTAGAATAAATTTTGTAAGTTTTAGACGTGAAGTTAGCCTCCGACATTAAAATTTTTTAATTTTTTTACTTGCAATCGTTTGTTGGTGTGTTTGTTGGTTAATTTTTATATTTGTTGGTTGATAGCATTTTCAGAATGAATTTATTCAATGTTGGGCGTGAAGTTAGCCCCCGACATCAAAATTTTTGAATTTGTTTAGTTGCAATCGTTTGTCGGTCGTTCGTTGGTATTTGTTGAATATTGTTTATCGTTTGTTGGGTGATAGTATCTTCAGAATAAATTTTTACAATGTTGAGCGTGCGCTTTGCCGTCGACATTATCATTTTTAAGTCTTATTATTTACAATCGTTTGTTGGTTTTTGTAACTTAAAAAAATATTAATTTTGGGCTTGGGCCTCCGATATTTTAATCATTTGTTGGTAGATGTTGAATACATGGCCTAATAAGAAGTAGCTGGTGATTTTTTTTTAAATTACAAAAACCAACAACAGAGGAAATATCGCCAACAAACACCAACAAACGATTACAAATAAATAATGTCGTGCGCTAAGCTCGCGGGCAACATATAAAAATTTATTCTAAAGATACTATCAACCAACAAACGATAAACAATATCCAACTAACACCAACAAACGACCGACAAACGATTGAAAATAAAAACATTCAAAAATTTTAATGTCGGGGGATAACTTCACGACTAAAACTTAAAAAATAAGTTTGAGGATACTATGAACCAACAAACGACAAAAATAGCCAACAAATACTAACAAACGACCAACAAACGATTGAAAATAAAAAAATTCAAAGATTTAATGTCGGTCGGGGGCTAGCTTCACTCCCAAAACTTGCAGAATTTCTTCTGAGGATGCTTATTAACCAACAAACACCAACAAACAACCAGCAAACGATTACAGCAAAAAAAAACGAAACATTACAACTTGGGGGAGCTAACTTCACGTAGGTGCAGTCCGAGCGCAGTGTATCGTGGGTATACCTTACTACAAATATATTTAGTAGCAAAGTACTATTAAGTAATAAACTTTTCAGTGGTTTTAAAACTATATGGTTAGGTCATAGTTTTTCTGTAATTTTACCTATATAATGGAGTGTATTAAACAGCTACCGACTTGACTTTAATCCTACTCCCACTCCCACTATAGAATGATAAACAAGATACCAAGAATCGCATACGATTTTCAGTAGTGGAATTTTTTACCACTCAGCTCGCATTCGGAAACACCACTTTTAATCTGGCTCATATTCAATAGCACTGATCCTTGAACTGGTAGAAATCGATTGGCAAAGGTTTGATATCGCTATCTCGTTTCGTCGAAGAACAGACGGACAGACCGACGGCCGGAGTTTCTTTCGAAAAATTAGTCTAAAAGCGCGCGTGACAATTACCTTCTCTTGTTAAAAAAACGCGTTTATGGCAGTAAAGAGTAGGTATCTATCTACGAAAAGTTTCAATAAAGGACTTTCTACACGAATTTATCAATAATAAAATTTAGAAATACTTAGGAATAAGTTATGTGTCATTACACCAGCAGTGAGTTTGGAACAACCACAACAACGAACAGAAATTTAAATTACGTTATATCTTAAAATTCATGAGAACGTAATGCTAATATCATGAAACTTCAAACAACTACGGGATATCCATATGTAGCTGCGATACGCACCCGTCACATACTTATTCATATTATACATTTGAATAGAAAGATAACTATCAAAGCCACAGACCATTAGGAACGCCACATGCGAACAACGCAAGGCGAGCTGTCATGTCACACTCGGTAGCTTGACACTTGTAGCATTCTGAAAATTGAAATGTTAGGGTACAATGATGGCTGGATGCAGACCAATCCCTTATACAGCATCACAAAATCTCTGAAACTCGGGTTTTCTATTGGCAGAACAACTTTTATGCGCAAGACACGTGGTCAACGGATCCGCCTTTTGCCACGTTTCACATGTAGCTTTCTATGCAAGAACAGAACACAGAACGTTAGTCTCCTTTCGTGAGAGTCCTAATTACGTTACTTACACGCATTCGTATAGTGGGTGTATGTCGTGATAAGCGATGTGAATAAAAACGTGAGCGCGTCCTGTCGTAAAATTTATGTTTCTCCTCTTACCATGATGATGATGGACGTAGGAATGTACGGGCACGGTCATCATAATCAATACGGCAGCACGTATAATCCGTCGGAAGCCAACTTTTTCGGATACCAAGGCGAATCTTACCCACAAGGGCATACCTCCGAACATCAACTATCTCACTACGCAACGTCCTATTATTACGAAGATTCCTCTTATTTGTGCGGAAATTCGTCAGAATCACCACCACCTCAGCAAGATATAAATTACTACCACCCCTCGCATCATCAACCAATTCCGCATGATAATCCAATTATTAATACCGAATCGGGACTGAGTTACACAAATTTAGATTACGCGAATTCGGGCGCATGTTCAAATTCCGGTTACCTCAACTCTAATCAAAATATTTACCCTTCAGATGCTGGCTACCAAAGAACACAATCCGAAGTAATGGCAAGACATCACGACAATATTATAGACGGCCGCCAATCGCATAGTTATTACGATACCAAGTATCATCATCTCGATAATGACAGTTACTCACAGTTAGTGCTTCAAAATACAAGTTGTGCAGAATACCAACAGCTACAATATAAGGAAGAACCTACCGCAACACAGGAACTGGATCGCACGCACCCGTCGTTGCATTCCATTTCTCAGTTATCTACAGTTCCTCGACATACTCCTGCTATTCCGACGTATAAGTGGATGCAAGTTAAAAGGAATGTTCCTAAACCACACGGTAAGTTAACTTCAGTCTATTAGTCATAATGGTTGAGCGTGAGGCGCACACTACCCTTATATTACTGCACAATTTCTAATATAAATGTGTGCGGTAAATAGCTCCCTATTTGCAATGTAGGGTTCTTAGTAGTAAACGCCAGCGTATATTATCGGGTGTATCGAGATTAAACAGGCATATCTAATAAGTACCTACCTATTTTTATAAAATAAACAAGTGGTAACGCGTAAATCCACCGCACTCTCACAGTTTTCTACGGAGTAAAAATATACATTTTCACGTTTTTTCACTTCTAATTCAATGCCTAGTAAAAGTGTCTACATAACTTTTGTAACGGAAGGAAATCCATTTTTGGCGTATCTCCGAATTACCTATCTACATTCAACATTTCTTGTTGGAATGCGTCTGTACAGATATACAAGGATCTTTCGACATGTATACTCGTAAGTATAATCTATCCCAGTGTTTCTCAACCTTTTTTTACTGGTGACCTATTTGTGAATGTTATTTATCTCTGTGGCCTCCCCTCCCCGTTAGACCGGAGGGGTATGGCGTCATACACCGGGAAATTTTTGAAATTTTAGTAGGTTTATACGCGTTTTTAGACTCATTTACGTTTTTCTCAGACTGCACAAAAATGTATAGATTATTTATAGGCCATTAAATGTGACATTTCAATATTTTAAACACTTTAGAATTAGATAAAAATTAATTTGAGTTATTTTTTAGTTATCAAGAAACCATTTTCAAGTTCTTGTTTTAACGCTGAAATTTTTTTTTAAAAAGAAAGAAAGATGTAGGAAAACTAATCTACAAAAAATGGGCCCTAAGAAATACGTCATGGCCCCCGTTGAGAAACACTGATCTATCCTACGATTTCACCGATTATACAGGATGTAACTTTTCGAGCGACTACATATCCGCTTTATTTCATCAGCAAAAAAGTCTACTAAAAATTTTCCTCTAGATGACCCCTTTAGATAGACATTAACACTATAAGATTTTTAAATCTGATAACGTTTTTATTAGACTTTTATACTCAGAAGATAATGCAGAATCACGTATAGTGAAGAGTTTTATCGATCGCTCGAAAAGATACACCCTGTATAAAAAACCGCAGCTAGCTATATATACGAGGTCTGATTGTACCTAATTATCTAGGTATATGCAGAAGTCTCAAACCCTCGGACGGAGAGTCCGGCTTCGCCCATCGTACGAGTTCTATTTTTTAAATACTGTAAAATTGTATACAGGGTTTCCCAAATCGAGATGGATTACCTGCATGGGTAACTGTCTTACTCATTATTGAAGATAGTGATTTGAAAGTTTTGCAGTGTTAGATGTGCAGCGAATTCTGACTATAGGTAAAGTTTGTTTAGAATTTTGTTAAAAACCGGGTCTGTTATTTATAAACAGCTGAAGCGCCAATTTACAAAAAATTAGATTAGAGAATTATAAAAGTTTAATGTGAAAGTTTCTCGTTGTACAATATATTAATAGGTGCCTACCAACTTTCTTTTTTAAAATAGATACCTACGATATTGGGTTTTTACATTATTTTAAAGAAAGTTTTTAAACTTATGATTAAACAAATAATACTTACATTTCTATCCATTAGGTTGAACTAATTTGTTAAATCAATTATGTAATTAATTATTTTTTGGTAGATCGTAGGTTCGATAGAAACCTACTGTGTCTACATTTTTTTTATTAATTGGCGAACTTTTTCAATAGTTAAACATTGTTTTCTATGCATATCAAGTATTTAATAACAACGAAAGATAATAGTAGTGAGAGGTCTGTACTCCCCTCCCCCCTTATTTGATGACGTCACACGTGCTGCGCTGTGATTGGCTGCGCCATTTTGTGGTGGTAAATTTGAGTTTGTGCGTGAGATTTGAATTTTTGAATTTGAGGATGTTGGCCATTTTGTATGAGTTAGTCGAAAATAAATGTATAGGATGTTGAGAGAGTTTTAAACAATTTTAGGATTTGTATTTTTTAATTATTATTTACCTATTAATTAAAACTGCTTTACTACAAAAACGTATTTATTAAAAAGTTACATTTTTTTGCATTTTCACTATGGATATTCGTGAACCGTAAGAGATACAAAGCCGCTTAAATTTTTCATATTTCATTTATTTTTTACAACGTTACATTTCCTGCGAATGTGTTTGTGGGAAGTCAACCATAACATAGGCAGGCAAAGTTATGCAGCAGTTTATGCTGATTAATTTTCCCTTTCAAAGTTTCTTGCAACTCTACAAATAGCAAAGTTATGGCAAAAAAAACCCGAAAAATCTTATATTCATATAATTATCATTTATTTACCTATATACAGTGTGAGTTTTTTTTTCATTTTAAGCATTGGGATCTCGGAAACCATAAGATATACGGATTCGGTTAAATGAGGAATGTCGTTTTAAGAGCTTATTTAAGATATGCTTTTGTTTTTTAAAAAAAATCCACAGTTCACTAGATATGGGCGAAAAACAGATTTAGTGATTTTTCATTTAACTGTTGTAGAATCGTTATTATTAAAATATAACAAAATGACACGAATAAAAGACATTTTAATGATGAACAAACTAATTTATTTTTAGATGTTACAATTTATGAGTTATAATACAAACTTTAATTTTTTTAAACAGTAGTCATAGTCATAGTTGACTTTGACATTTTTAAAAACGACAAATTTTTCTTTTTATAACGATATAAGGCTTGCTAAATGTACTTTAATAAATAAACGCCCTGTAGGAATTTTCGTATTATTGAGAGGTAAGTAAACAGAGTTGGCCATGGAAAACAATATCTAGTGACTAGTGAGGTACCTTTCATTTACGACGAAAATTGGACAGGCCAATGTTATCTTAATTTTCTACCAAATGAATTTTAAGATAGGTAGGATGGGTTAGATTTGGAAACACGACGTAATTTACGCTGGTTTCAACACAACGGTGCCCCACCGCACAACTAACTGCAAGTTAAATATTATAATAGACAGTAATTAAAAGAACAAAAATGTTTTCCATGGTAAAATCTGTTTTTACTACTCTTAATAATACAAACAGTTCTGTATCATGTTTATTTGTCAAAGTACAATGGACCTTATATCATTGTAAACAGAAAAAAATGTACTTTTTAAAAATTTCACAGCCAACTATGAGTACCATTTAAAAAAATGTAAGTTTCCGTTATAACTCGAAAATTATAAAAGAAGAATAAATATTAATAAATGTATCTTATTAAACGGAAGTGTACCTAACGAAATTAAATTTTCGTACAGTATCAGACCCAAGTTTTTGTGAACGGTAATAATTCCCTTGGGCGTTATAGGTATTATAATGCACCTAAAAACTAGTCAATTATGATGTCATAATATCATAGTAGGACATAAAAGTTATTGCCTGGTTGTTTGTTTCGGAAAGATGCCTCAATTAGAATAGATCAAGGTATCATGAAAAGAAACCTATTTATTTTAAAGCTGATCGATCACACTAACATGGACTGATCCAGTGTCATGAAACTTAAGTAACTTCATCTGCACATACTAATGTCCGATCATTTATGGGGACGAGTTTCATTAAATGTTCTATGCGCACATCGATTCCCAGGTCTATACAAAGTTTCAGTTCTTTAAAAGACCATTTAAATTTGATTTTGCGTATTTTTGTAAAAAGAATTTTGTGACATTTAAAATGACGTGGCTAGGGGCTCGGAGGTAAATGTTAAAACTGAGGGAAACCTTCCATAAATGTTCCCATAACTATATCAAAATCAACGTTTTTTTGATATTTTTTTGTTTCATTTGACTAAAATTCATAGTTAGAAGACTAATGGAGGGAATATAATGGTAGAAGGGGTAAGAATTGTTGTAGACGGAAGTTGCCACATCCAGAGGCCACTCTCGTGGATAGGTGAAGGTACATTTTGGCCGCCATAGTGTTTTTATCACACGCAATTTTGTGAATTGAGAATGATTAGATGCGTATCATGCAAAATTTCTCATGAAGGGAAGAAACAGGGCATTTCCTTTCATCGGTAAGACATGTCATTTATTATGTTGTAGGCGAGGTTGTAGGTACCTATAGTATTTACTGGGATTATGTTTCTTAGTTTTCCAAACGAACCAGTACTTCGAGCAAAATGGTTACCTAACATTTGTAAATATATCTCAAGAACAGCTCTCAAAATATGCGTTTGTGCTCACAACGTTTCAATGACTGTGATTTTGACCAAAGGTTGCACCGCGAAAATGTTCAAATATGCAGTATACTCCGTTCAATAGTTATTGCAAATATGTAAAATATTTCTGTGTTAAAAACAATTAACAGCTTACTTTGTAAACCACATCTTAATTGTCAAATTCTTGTTTCTTGAGTTTTAAATGTACTAGTCCAGCGGCAGAAGATGGAACTTAGGACATTGGCCGGTGCTGGCGGGTCGCTAGTCTTGATACCCCATCAGCATTCGATCCTCTCATCTAGCCCCACCGCTGTGGAGGGTAAATCCGGCTATGCGGATCGAGTTGGGTAGTACGGTCATGTGTATAATCCACATATTCAATTTTGGTGGGTCAAAAACTTAAAAACGGTGGGTGTTTTAAGAAAGTGCATAGAATCAAAGTTGTAGCAAATTTTTGAGCTTGTATTTATATGAAAAGATTTTTTTCTACAACTGTCAAAAAAACCTGTCATTTTCTGACGAATTTCGAAGCGCGAAGTACTAGATTTTTAAACGGTTAATTAATAAGTAAGGTTGCCCTTGACAACGTGCGCGAAATCGTCAACAGTGAAAAAAAGTATTTCGCGCACGTGACAAAGTTGAACTTAAACAGTAAATTTAATTAACAATCGGTTCAGTTGTAGAAAAAATATTGTATATAACGCTAACGCGAAGTTATTTCGCGCATTTGACTGATATTTTAACTCGGCTTCGCCTCGTCAAAATACCTTCAGTCTCAATGCGCGAAATTGAACTTCGCGCTCTTGTTATAT